TTTTTTTTTTTTCAAAAAGGCGATTCTACATCAATTAGTGAGGATACTTCAAACGTGATGATCAATATAAATTATTCGTATGAAGTCAAACGTGAGTAAAAATATTAAAGAACTTTTCTTTAGTAATTAGATCTATCGTCATTTTGAATATGAGTTTTGCTCATTAAAACTTGCACAAATCGAACACTAAATACAAACAGGGTAAAACATTAATAATTCAAGAAATATCCTGATATTTCATCTGACGTTTCAAGTTCGATAAAAAAAACATAGTTGAAAAGGAACAGCGTATGACGAGTTTTAAGAACTTGTTATAAAGAGAAAATCTTAATCTTTAAAATCAAAGTTAGAGAAAAAGTTTTCCAACGTTTTCACACCGTTTCACGAGTGTGTCGGAATTTTTACAATTTTCGAGAAGAACGAACTCACGATTGTCAAAGTCACGAAGCTTTGAACCTTTAACCTCTTAGTTACGGCGAGATTCTACACTTCTGTACGGCAAGGCGCGAACTATGCAAAAACCCAGTGTAACGATGAAATTTATATGCTTTGCACTACGTGTAGAATAAACCTTGAATAAATGAAAGTTTCGAAATCGAAAAAATGAATAAAATTAAAGTTTGCTTCTATAAAGAATTTGAAAAATTGCAACAACATGTACATACAGACTGAGAAATAACTGACGAGCCGCTATAAGGACATATCGAAAGCCAAGAGATTAAAATAAGATCGAATGGATCGTCATATGATCTTTCTTCACAAAACTGTATCAATTCGAATTATCGACAATTTTTCACTGTTATGCTCCTCGCTGTACCGAGTGTGGACAGAGAATTACCACATAACTTTGATATACAACGATGTCTCACCGACGTTTGTCGCCAATCGTTGAATTAATTGATCCATTTATCCGCAAGTATCAACGATATCTTCAAGTATCGGTATCCAATTGGAAAAATTGGCCACTAACCTTCGCCAGGCTTTCGGTCGAGCCCACCAGCGGACGTGGCTCGTTTCTTGCTGCCGTCGAGCTCTCTCTCGGAGGATCTCCTTGTCAACGGTTGTGCGGCCGAGAACATCATCACGTTGGTGGTGGAAGTTGCCCGACGCGTTCCCCAGAAAGTGGAGCCACCGGTGTCGGCCGGTTCCAACATCCTCGGCGTGGAGCTGCCGAACGCGAACACGATGTGCGATCTCTCGTTCTTTTTCTTCGCCTCGATGCGCGCCTCTCGCTCCTGATTCTTTCGGAGAATCGCCTCCCTTCGTTCTCTTTCCGCCTCGCATATCAACCGTTTCCTCTCGCCGACTTGATTTCGTCTGTGAAAAAAAAAAAATAATAAAATAAAATAAAATAAAAGAAAAATAGAGGAGAAAAGATATATCTCGCAAAAGGAAATTCTGAAGCAACGATCCTCGAGAAACACTAGTAAGTAGTAATAGGCTGCCATTCTTTCTCCCAGACGGCGAGGGCAGAAGCGATTTTTGCCGCGGTTGAACTTTATGCAGGTGTGTCGCGGTAATTTCCCGGGGCTTCCTCCGCGACGGCAGAACAGTTTAGCATCGGCGTATCGTATTAACCAGGTCAACTTATAACCTCGTGGAGGGAGCACGTAATCTCGTAAAGAGCGTTTAAACACATCGATGTGGTTCCGTGTCGGTTTGTATTCGCGTGTCACAGATTGGAAAAAAAAAAAAAAAGAAAAAAAAGAACTACCCTCGAGGCGCGTGCGCGCCGCGTTCCATCTATCGTTCGCAACTGGCTCGTATTAAATAACCCAATTTCAAACGCAAAGCCGGCTCAAACTCTCATCCTATTTCCATTCGTGCGTAAGTACATTTTTTTTTTAACTTTCATTAAAAGAGAGAAAGAGAGAGGGAGAAGAAAATTAAATCAAATAGAAAATTAAAAAAAAAAAAGATTAAAGAACCGAGCAGCCGAATTGCGAATTTTCACGAATTGTCGATAGATCTCTATTGTTTGATCGTTCTAGTGCCACGCGACGCGATAACGTTTCTTTGATATTCATAATTTGTTTGCTAGACATTTTTTATAGACGTAAAACAGTGTATTTCTAAAAATTTAAATAACTTTTCGTAAAATATACGAACAAAAACTTATATACTCTATTGCATCATAAAGCTTTTTTATTTTTTTTTGTCTTCAATGTCGCTGGTGGAAATTTTATGCTATTAAATAAAATTTCTTCTATTATTCATATAGGAATTATATTAATAAGATTTTAAGGATGTTATATAATAATTAGTCATGGATTTATTTCTTCAGGGTTATTCTATTCAATTAATTTAATTTATATAAATAAAGGAATAATTAATTTAATACCTTCATTAATATTTTTTTGAGCAATCTTATGTTTATGTAATACAGGTTTACCTTTTTCATTGAATTTAATTAGAGAAATTATTTTATTAATAAGATTGATTTATTGATTTAAAAATTTCACTCTATCGATTCAACATCGCGACCAAACGCTGTGACAGATTATTCGAAATAATGAAACGGTTAATGAAAGGAGAAAAAAAAAAAAAAAAAAAGAGGGAGAAGAAAAGGCACAAACCTGTCGTTGTCGCGCGATTTGAGCTCGTCGATGCGCCTTCGGCGTTCCTCTTCCCGTTGTTCCCGGAAGCGTTGCGCAGCGATGGCCTGCTGTCTCAGCTCTTCCAACTTCCGCTGCCGTTCCTCGTTCTGTCTCTCACGGACGAGCTTCGCCCTGTCCACGTCTTTCGCGCTTCCCGTCGACTCCCGTCCTGAGAACAACCACCAACGCTCGATCACTTCGTCTCGTCTCGTGCGAGCTTCGCGTTTCGCGTGGACGTTCGAAATATTATCGTTTCCCAGACAGTTCACGATAGTAAAGGAGGACTGCTCGTTTCGAGCGATTTGACAAATCCACGAATAAAATCCCCCCCCCCCGTTATTTACAATCTTTCTCGCGTTACCGTCGCGAGAATAAAAGCTCGACTTCTAACAATTGTGTATGTACTACTTGACAAAAGAGGGAAAAAGTTCAAAGTTTCTCGTGTGATCTATTGGAAAAGCTAGTCTCGGCCACTGCCCTTGAAAACGTGATACCTTCGTTCTCGCTAGGATGATCGCCGTCGAGGGAGTCCTCGTCGTAGAGACTTTGCCGGCGCTTCACATCTGTCGAGAAGAAAGCGAGAATATGTGCGTACGCACGTGAGATTCGGGTAGATTATACGAGCAGAACACGCGTAATCGCGGCACACTGCAAGCATGCGGCTCTGCGGGGCGGACACGCCACAGTTACACACAAAATGCAAGTCTTCAAAGCGATATCGCGGCACTCACTGACAACACTGATTCGGACAAACATGCTTCATGCAATCGACGTCGTGTCTAACATTTTTTTGTGACATTTCTGTGTTCTAACGAAACACGTTAGGAGCGTTAACCCTTTGCGGTCATCGCGCAGTTTTCGTCATCTCGTTTCAACTAGTTCGTGCTATATTCGACTGTTTCGTGTATTCAGCCGGTCCACGCTGATTTCAGACTAACTTACCGATGATCCGCTTGGTATCGGCCAGTTTGCGAAACACTTACACAGGCTTACGAACAAGACGACATACTTATAAGCAGATAATTATATTGAATAACACTTTAGCTAACTTTGCCTGAATCTTTTCATTTTCATAATGAATAATTACTGTTTGAAATTCACGTTCAATATCAATCGTATAATCAATACTTTCAAATTCGTTGTCGCTGCACGTTGTGGTCCGATCACTAAATCGAAATTTTTGAGCTGAATTTTGAAATCACTGAATGATAATCAATTTCTTTCGAAAGCCACGACCGAGTCAAAACGTACGACGGCGCAACTCTTTATTTTCTCTCTATTAGTCTCGACGAAAAAAATTGAAACGATATGCATTGTCGAGCCAGACACGATATAGGATCGCAAAGGGTTAATCAAAGGGACCAAGTCTGAAAGTAGTGGACCAAACGAAATTAACGAAATAGAATCGCAAAAGAGAGAAAATTTTGTCGTAAAAATATTCGATTACACCTCTCTCGTAAAGAGATAATCAATTTTTGCGAGTCGAGTCGAACGTTCCTTTCTCGCCTGTGCGCGCAGCTGTTTTATCAAGTAATAAATTCTCCATTCGATCGCCTATCTGCGTACGGTTTTATCGAAGAAAAGCTGCCCATTTTCCGTGATATCAACGTGTTTCTTTCGCCCGGCTAATACGATTATTAAAAATAGGGCGCCGTAAAAGGCGCGGCTCCGCTTCCTTGGGATGCAGATGCTCGATTTATTGCCACGAGCTCACGTTCCCGTCGTTTTTTTTTTTTTTTTTTTTTCTCGATTCCATTTTTCCACGCTTTGAAACACTCGACGCGGAACGGTGATTTTACAGTTTTGATGAGGAGAGGGGTCTCTGTTTCTGACGAGAAAGAAACTGAAATTGATTAATTAACAGGCAACTTGTTAGGTGTTTATATCTACATTGTTACAATGTTATTAAATTCATTTTTATCAAACAATCGCACAGACTGAGCCGGCTAACTGGCGGCTTGAGAGCTTTTGGCCCCTCCACTTGCTTATTAGAGAAGTTTCAATGCAGTGGAGGGGGTAACGCTAGCGATCAGAAAAGTAGAGGGGCCCGCAAGCCGCCAGTTAGCCACCTCCAGACTAAGAGATTGCAAAAATCGCTTCGAGCAACTCACAGCCAGAAAATTTGAATATTTTATTGTTTGCTTTGGAAAATTCAGTTTTCTTTTAACATAGTAAGAATCTTACACACATACACACACATTTCGTTGATTTTAACTTTTCTTGTTAGTTCTTTAATTTCTGTTAACAAGAGGTTAACATTTGTCGACGCAAAAAAGGCACACTCAAAGAAACTCGGTTAACGCGGCGTGCTTGTAAATACCGGCGACTGATGGAACGGCGGTCGTTTCCAATTTCGACGGATTACTATTAATACGCACGCATTACGCAACGCGCAAGTTAAACTCGGCGCAAACATCGCGATGAGTTTGGCAAAGCACACTGTCCATTATTTACCAAACTGATTATTACCTGACGAATCGGGCGAGGCCTCGTCACCTCCGATTTGGGCGAACCAGTGCATCGTTTGCTCTGTGAAAGATAAATTCGAAAGTTCGTTCCTGCAGGAATCTTTGTTCAAACAGACCGCGCCTGCCCCGCTCCCTCATTCCCATCGAATATCTCTGTATTCCCGGCGATCGACACTTTCGGCATGGCTTCTCTCGTATTTCGATTGATATTTTTGCAAGTACGATGCAAAAAGAGATTGATTTGAACCCGCTGTTACAAATTTCGCAAATTACAAATGTCGGTGAATTCCTCCTGTGCGACAGTAAGGGAAATAATGAAATGAATAAAGGAAAGTAAATAAAAGAAAAGCTGGGAAATTCGTATCCACAAGTGTTTTTTCTCTGATGTCAAATCAGAGACGATAAAAATTGCTCTCTAGTTTGTATTAAATTAAAATCGAGACTTCAAGAAATTCGAAAGTCGCGGAGATAATAATGATTGAAGAAAGATCGTCCTTTCGCAAACGATCCGCCGCCACAGATTTTGTTTCGAACAGCGCGACATAGTTTCAAGTCTCGGCAAGTTTCAATTCTCTTCCATAAAAAAAAAAAAGGCTCAAAATCGAAACGAAAAACGACGTGGAATAATGTGAAAACAAAAGAAAGAAGGTGGCAGGAAGAAGGAACGAGCCGACAGGTTGAAATAATTCAAGGGAGCGCAAAGTGCCATAAATATTTCCTATATAAAACTCTTTTATCGTTTATGAAGAGTAACGACGTTGGAACAGATGGGACCAACGAGGGAATTTTCACGTGTCGATCTTCTCGAAACGACCGTCCGAGGGTTTAAATTTTTGTTTTCTCTAACGATACACGGGCCACGTAGATTTGCTGCTGCGATCGTTTAATTGCGAACTGGCTCGCTTATTTTCCACAACTGTCGAAAGAGAGAGAAAAAGAGAGAGAATGGGGGATGTTCTATCCAATTCTTCCGGCGGCTGATTGCAAATGTCGTTGGGGGAAAAACGCGACAGCCATCGTCGCGCTTCGCTGTCGACTATAATTGATAATTGGAAAATGGACAGCAGCGGTGAATAGGCGTGGAGCGCGTAATTACAAAATGCACACAGAGGAACGTGCTTTGGTTAAGCGATCGCGGCAACCGTCTACAGAAAACGGATAAATGTTAACGAGATAGTTTGCGTTATCGCATGGTCAATCGTGTCATTCAAAATTGTTCAAATCATCCTCATTTTTACTCCTTCTTCTCAATGATTCGGTTGTTTATCCATTCTTCCCAACTATTGCGATATTATTTAGAGCTCATTCTCTTCACCCGGGTATTTTAGAAGATAATTGAGCCGTACACTCGATATGATTTTCTAATTAATATAATTATAGTTTCGAACAATCGAACAAATTATAATTTACGTCCACTAGAATAATGGAGAAATCAAAGAGAATTATCCAAGTTTAAGAAATATAAACATCTGCTAGCTCTGAAACAGCTATTTCCCACAACTGGAAATATTGTTAGCGCAAGGCGAACGACTCCTATTATTGCAAAATGTAGAGTTAGTATCTTTATACAAAGGCATCTAAAATAATCACTTCGTTGTTTCATCGCTAAAACAAAATTTACACTGTGGACGTCCGAGTAAAATATGAATAGAAATAATAGTAGTTTCGATAACTATTCTTGGATATCTCTAGCACTAACAACCGTGAAAGAAGAAGCGAAAGGGGTTGTAAAATGAATGAAATGCGGCTACTCGTCGAAATCGAATTATACTCGATTATTGATTACACCAAGCCCTTTTGTATCGTGATTAATTGCAGTTCACGCGGCTTACTTT